TATATCTGAAAGGCCTGTATATCTGAAAGGCCTGTATATCTGCAAGGCATGTATATCTGCAAGGCCTGTATATCTGTAATAGGGGACCATATCTCCTATGAACCCATTATTTTGTTTATTCTGCAACCGCTGTTTCATACCTTCAAAGGTATGTCTATTCAGAGAAAGTATATTTTTTTGTCTGTTTTTGTTACTGATATCGTCTGCAATAATTTAGTAGCAAGTTTGTGGTCACCTTTTAAAACTATTGAGTCCTACTACGTAAAGATCTGGTCACTAGGATCGAAATTTATTAAGAATGTCTTATTGTTTGGACACTATACCTTAATATTTGCATTGCGCAATTCGTTTTTCAGAAAAAATCTTTTTGAGATAAGTGTTTTCAATGTTTTTCTTTTGGTTTATTTGCGAATAACTAATACTTTAAACCTTGCTTAACACTAATAATTTTGCGTTTAGAAAACTAATATTCAGCCTTTTTAAAAATGCTAATACTTCTAATAAAAATAGTATTTCAGAAAAGTAAAAAAAGTGCTTTTTACTGTGAAATTGCTATTTCAAAAATAGTGGCATTTTTAATTATTTTAGATTATGTTTAGATTATATTTTTGAAGTGAGTTATTTAAAACATTCGTAATTATTTCACAAATGAGAATCTCATATATATTTGACAGTGATATTCAAATTTTAACAATGTTCCAATATCACTTTTTCTATAAACTGCGTAAGATTATTATGGTAACTAAGAAGATATTTTAAATAATATTATTTTAGCAGAAGGTCTTAGAAAATGTATTCTTTAATAATAATTAATATTATTCTTCAATTTATTCAAAAAGTAATCATTAAAAGAAGAGCAAGATTTGCATATAGAGAAACTTTAATACGCCGCGAAGTAAATAAAGAATAGAAAAGAACAAACATTACTTCAGATCGCTCAAAATATTGTTTGAAATTTATGTTCCTTTTCTTATTTACGAGAATCAAAATTTTTCTAACCACGATCTTAATTTAGAAATTAATTAGATAAACATTTTTCTCTCGCTTAATCGCATTTTTGAGCATTTTCGTGTAATTAGTTTTAGGTTCAAATTTAATGTTTTGTGTGTAGAATAAACATGTCTTTCCAGTTTTCGTAAATACTAACACTTTTTTTTTTGTTGTTCATAAAACATTATTTAATCTCTTTTTTATGAAATTAATATTTTCTAAGCAATAATTAATTTTATATATGAATATTTATTAGATAAAAGATCAAAAATAAATTTCGATAAATAATTGGGACAAGAATTCAATACATGTTTGCACATAAGGGAAATATGTTAGTTTATGAAATGGTCATGAATATATTATTTTAATAAATCCTAATAGCGATGTTTAAACTTCTGTAGTTGAAAATATTTTTCACAGCTGTTTGTAAATATTTTTAAAATTTTTTCTAATTTGATCTCTATTGTAGTATAAGATTTTTTATGACTAAAAATTTCAGTTCTTGCAACATACTTCAGTTATTTTCTTTTCTTCTACACAGAGGAAAAAATTCTAGTAAAATTACCATACTGTATAGTAATGATTTTCTGGTAAAAAAAAAGAAAAGAACACAATTCCGGATAATAGAACCTTAATATATGGTATATAAACCTTTCAATAGGTAATTTTTCCTTTTATATAGTAACGGCTCCCCGGAAATTCAGGGTTTCAAAATTATAGCTCTTGTTACCACTCATTAAAGTAAAAAATACGAAATTTAAATGCAAACTTAACCGAAAAACGAATTTTATGCCATGTTTTAAGTTATCGCGAAAAAATTTTCAAATTTTCCAAATTCTATCATACATTAAAAAAACATGTTTCATTATTATTTTTGCCAAAATCATTACTGAAACGATTCGGTTAAAATGTAGTAAATCTTAAATAAGAAATATTGAAAGGCTATTAAAACATTTGATAAATCAAAGTTTCCGAATTGTTTTCAGTAAAAGATTGTTAAACTTTAGTATGCCTGAAATTTTAAATGATGTGTGATTCTCCTGACGACAGTCACATGATAACCACTCCTAAACATATAGCACTGAAAATCGTTTCTTCAAGTGTTTAGAATTCCTTCTTTTCGCAAAGAAATAGTATTTTATTCACAGTTTCTGTGTTTATTTTTCTTGAAACTTAGTCCTTCATAAAAATTTTATAAAACAACATTAAATTGCTTCATTTTGCATTTTCAACAAACAATTTATTAATAGCCCATGCTTAACTGCGTTTGAAATGATCGTAATTTAAAATAATATAAGCATGAAACGTTAAGCACCTTGCAGGTTCTTGTGAAAGAGACAAAATATCCAAAAATATACCGTATTGTTATAAAACAGAGAGAATATCTTTTGAGTAAAATTCACTTCCGAGTTTTAACAGCCCCTGATACGTGCTCAAACATTTAAAATCCTTTTGTGTCAATGTTGTAGGGGAGATATGCCTCAAATTATGGAAGATGTAGTATTCATTTCCTAGGAAACGTGTGGCTATTAAACTTCGAGAACGAAGCCCGCTTCTACGGCATAAGGATCCACTTTAATGTTCGATTCTTTAAGCAAACTTTACAAACCGTAATCCGTGCTTTTCTATCTTCCGAATTTGGGAGAAATAGATAGAATCTGATATCCATGTAGCCGAACTCATTTGCCTCGAGTTTACGGCGAATTCGTGTTGCTCGAAGTATCTATATTCTTTAGTATTAGATTAGGGAATACATTCGTGCAGAAGGGAGTTTTTGAAAAGAATGATTCGTGGTACATGACCTCGAATACGGATTCGTGGGGGAATTTCTGATGGAAGATATAAGTTAGTTTGAATCCTTGTGTCCGAATACTAGGGAAGGCTTTGTTTTGGTATCTAGAGTATGTTTGGATGGGGAATTTTCAGAAGTTCTGTTAAAAGATGCAACGAATATATATTCAAATTTGAAATTCCAGAGTAATATACCTTTTGCGCTGTAAAATCCCTTTCCGTTACATTCATATTTCTGTAAGAGTAATATATATTTTCATTACAGATGCATGTACACAGCATTCCAAGATTGGTATACTGTCTGGTACAAAAAATTTTTTGTTGTTGTTGTTGGATGACATGGATGGATTAAGTGTTAAATACAAATGAATTTTTAAAACGAAAATTTTAATTTATAAATTATGGTATATAAGTGAGGGATTTATTACATATTAGAACTAATTAAAGCATTTTTCCTTTCAATAGATGATCCGAAATATTGATAAATTACTCATTGTACAGTAAATTGTTTGATTTGTTAATCTCCACGTGAAGTCATTGCTAAATTATATGTTTAAGAAGAATGGTGAACATTTACTTTACCTAGACCTGCCTCATTTTATTCAGGTCAAAAATGTTTTGGACAGTTTTTACAGTCTCAAAAGCTAACAATTTTACATGTGGGCAAATAAAAAAAGAGAAAATCCTTAAAAATAAAGAGAAAATAAATACTGTTATAAAAAATATGCCCACAAATCCTGCTACTAGATCAGAAATCAGTAGGGGATATTTTCGTTTAGGATGGAACTAAATGACTCGAAAAGTGGGCCACATTCCAAAAAAGGAACTAGCAAGAATACAGTATAAAAAAAAATAGAAAAGTCACATGACCCCTACGAACGGTTAGCTGCCTCAAGGACACATTGCGTTGACAGAAGAATCATTAATAATCGTACCCCCACCCCACCTCAAACATTCCTTTGCTGATAATACGACTAGGAAAAGCAATTCTGCGGTTATAGTTATGTTTCCTGATTCTGGCGCCCACAATGCTCTCCTTGCAAAATGTTCTCTCATTCTTCAAAAGAACTGGAAATAGTGATTAATTCACCCACTTTATTATCAGATTCATTGTGCATACATTTAAGAATTGTACAGTAGTTTATTTGTTTGATTTGTATCATTCAATGACAAAAAGAGAAATGTGCCGTTTAGTTTATGGTTTGTCAATTTATATGAAGTAAAAGAAAATGGTATAATTGGATTATTTTCTAAAATTTATAGATATAAACTATTTAAAAAAAACTAGTTATAAAATAACACTATAGAGATATTAACAGCTAACAAGAATCGCGATAATACGTGAGTTAAGGCACTGCGATGGCATTATTTAAGACCGGAGTTCAATTTCTAGTGGTGGCTTGAAGCTTACACAGCTTTAAATCGATGGCTACCAGCTTGTCTGGGAATTAAAGACGACCGAAGCGCACTATCCAGACGCAATATCTCGACGTATATGGATGGTGTTTTCAGTAGAAATATAAACAATAACAATCTCGAGCTGTATGCCTGCTCTAGTTCCAGTTAGAAAGTTTACAGCTGCTTACTACACGTTATTCTGCGAGGCGATATTTTCAAACGGATAATTTTGTTTTCAATTAAAGAAATAAATTAGATAATTTCTGAGCTCAAATCTGCCGTATTTCATAAGATATTAATGTAATTATGCAATTCTGGTTAGTTTGAAGTGAAAATTTGTTTTAGTTATTTAGAGATATATTGTTAAAAAATGTGACATGGTTGCTAGATTTTGAATAACTCGCTTTTTTGGCAGTCTTGATTAGGCCTCTTTCCAAAAATCCATTGACCGTTTGTTCTTTTTGCAAGCTGTGCATCATCTTATGTTAGTGTTAACACTTTTAGCATTGTAAACACAAGCATTGTTAGCGTTGTAAACACAAGTAACAAATGCATTGTTTGCAAGAATCTCAAAACACAATGATGCCAAATGGCTCTAAAATGCAACGGAAACAGTAACCCGGAAATTTAGGCGGCACCGAGCTTGCAGCGTTCCCTAGTGTAGAAAACACCACCCATTTTAAATTAAAATTTCAATTTTACAACGGTTTTCGGAATCAATAAGGAAAATGTTACAATATCGGATGTGAAACAACGCGTAAGGATCCGGACGAATAAAATGTGAAACGTTGTTATTAAGAGTTGAGAATAGAGGCACTTACCTAAAACTACGACATCCTGCTGTGCCATCAACATGTCTCTATCGTTTTTAGCAGAGCAGGTGTAGGTACCGTTGTCCTGCCTGCGTAGGGCACTGATTGTAATTGTGGCCAGCACACGTACATGATCTAAGACATCCGCCTTATAAGTGAATCTCTCGTCCCCTTGAATGAGGGGCACATTGGGCCGCGACCAGCTGACGGTCGCCCTCGGGTATGACATGGCCACACATGATAACGTTACCACACTGTGTAGTGCCACAGAAGTTACGTTCGATCCAACTTCTACACTCAAGGGCACTGAAAGAGAAGAAAAAGATATATTAAAAATAAAATATATTAAAAATAAGATGTATTAAAAATAAGATATATTAAAAATAAGATATATTAATAATAAGATGTATTAAAAATAGATATACAAAGTGAGAGCTAACGTGAAAAGTCTGTTCAAATACTGAAATACAGTTAATAATAAAAACAAACGAAAATGATCCTAAATTCATTCTTTCTGTACCTTCTGGTACGAAATGGGAGTACCTTAATTTCGTTACATATAATAGCAAGTAACAATTTTTGTTTGTTTGCGTTGTAATAGCTTCTAAAAGCTAAGTGAATGAGCTAACGGAGATAGAATCTTTAGAATTAAAGAAGCTAACATTTGATACGATGTATTGTGTTAATTCTATGTATCGTATGCAACTTTTTTAACGTTGCATGTATGTGTATGGAAGATGAACTCGCAAAACGGATACTATGAGATCGGATCAATCCTTATGATTTCTTTAACATCATTACAATACATATAAATAACTACAGCTAATTAAGATTAAAGTCCAATTATAGTTGGTAAAATTATTTTGCGATGTATTTGATATAATGATCAGATTTTTACGTACTTGGTTTCCACTTCAGTGGTTTGAGGGCCTGACATAGTGTACGACAATTAATTTTTACAGACGATAATTTTAGTTCAGAAATGAGACAGAAAAACTTACTTTCTGTGTGAATAAACCTGCCTCTTTATTTGTACGTATTATATTGTACTAATAATTTAGTCAGGAGAGTGGTCGAAAGTTTGGTCCCCTTAATAGTTTTAAATTTTGCATTTTTCTCTATATCTCTGAAAGTTTTAAAGCGAATCAAAAAGCATTTGCGCACAATTATAAAGTTGACTTAGCCAAAGATAATTCCATGTAAAAATTATATTTTAATGCCTATTCTTCAGTTTTTTATTATTTAATTACGGTTAAAACATGTTTGAATTATAAAGTATGCGAATTTTTACGTAGTTTTTAAACAGCGAAGTTTTAAAAGCGAATGCAAATTTGGAAAGAAACCGTTGGAATAGTGTCTAAGCAATAACATTTCAAATAAATCACGTTTTTAAATTTTCCTTTTCTTGAACTATTTGTCCGATTAATCTTAAATTTCAAATTTTGTCATTGAAAATTACATCAAATAAATGGTTGTAGAAATCTGTATGTCTTACAATTCTAATTTTTTCATACCATTAACAAATTAAATAATAGATAATTAAAAAAATATTACGACTTTCAATTTCTTACTTAGGATAATATTTGAATAAAGAAGTTTTATAATTGGGAGTAGGTATTTTTTAAATTCTATTCATTAGTACCGGATATTTAATTAAATAGACAAAATCTCTAATGAACTATTGGGACTATATTTTCCAGACAGAGATTATCCTGCTCCCAAATTCTTAGGGTCAATAATTCAAACCCTCTGTGAAAAATTTATTATTCTTCAGAAAAAGTACTTTTTGGTGTATGAGTTCGTAACTTAAAATATCGTTTGCACTAATTAATCAACATACTTAAGATTAGGCTCTTGAGCCATTTAGATTGAGTACTAGTACGTGAAGATACGATTAAGTTATTGCTAATCTTATCAGTTGTAATTTTTTTGAATTGTAATTGTAAATCATGCAGCGCAATCGTTTGATAAAAAGTTACCGTTAATTTCGAGATGCGTAAAGAAAATAAAAAAATTAAATACATACATGAATTAATTTCCTTCATAGCATAATACAACAATTCCAAACAAAATTTTTGAATTAAAAGATTATAATAGATTTGAATTCCAATACATTCCAGTGATTCCATTTTGCTGATAATAATTTTTACAGAATAAAATTGTAAATGTGCACGGTTTTCGCAGAGCAAGTACCAATCATATTTTCTCAAAAGAATTAATTTAAAACAAATAAAGTTTATTGTGGAATGTTTACAGCGATTGCCCTGGATAACTAATTTAATTAGATATTTTAAAGTGCAAAATAATACAGATTGTGACAATTATTAAATAAAAATGAATTTCTTAGTTCATTCCTGGATTTTGGAATAAAAGCTGAAATTCTTGGTATTTAATGATTATACTCGAAAAATATGCACTTATATTATCTTCAAAAATATTTGGTTTTCTTGACTTCTTATTTAATATGCTTCTATAATAGGAAAAATAGAAATCAATTTGGTACTTGATCGAGAAGAAGAGTGTATTTGATCGAGAAGGAGTAAAGTGAAATGCTTAACCAGATTCAAGCACCGTCACGCTTGTTTGTCGAATCGGCCAATGCCACGATTTTTCTATGATGACGTCATTTGCAGGAATCCAATTCGCCATTTTTAAATTTCAAAAAAAAAAAAAAACATAAATCATCCTTTTTTTCGAAAAAATATTTGCTGATACATCTTGCTCATTTCCAAAAGATATTAAAGTTTAGAGAATATGAGATAACATAGAATAAACAAAGTAGAAATATGCTTTTACTTCAAAAAATTGCAGAAAACTGATTACCATTTGACGATCAAATCAAAATGCGTGCATATCTAAAACCAATCAAACTTTCATAAAAGTGTTACTCAGAATCTTTATTTTGAAAGTAAAAAATAAATAAAAAGAATTTTCTTCCGTCAGTCAAGGAAAAAAAAAAGAGTACTCCAATATTTAGAAAAGAAGAAATGATTTTACTTCAAAATGCAATATTCAAACTGTTTCAGAAAATCGTCTAATATAATATTTTGATCTGATTGGTTTCAAAATATATTTTTGAGCAGACGATTTTTTAATGCGAATCCAATGAGCGTGCAAATACAAATAGATATATATATAGCACGTTAAGCTACGTGAATATTCATTGCGAATCAGATTTTTCTTCGAAAAATATTTGTATTTATTGCAAATTATAGCATCTTCTGATAACGATTATAAACGAAATTAAGACAAACTAAAATGGTTTAATAAATATTGAGAATGAACTGGCATTTAATTACGTACTATTTGTGACTACGTTACGGTGAAACACCGAAATCTGGAGAATGTCGACATTCACGTAGTCGCTTGGTGTATGTCCGAAATATTTGCTAAATACCCTTATTTCTGACTCTCATTGGTGAATGTCAACAATCACATAGTCGCTTTGGTGAATGTCCGAAATATTTGTTATATCCAATTTTATATTAATTTATTCGTTAATATTATTATATTTATTTGATATATTTATATTTATTCTATATTTTAATACTTACTGACGATAGATTAGAAGAAACATCAGTGTTTGGAGTATCGGGCAAATATATACCGGGCAATGGCACTTGACCTTAAAAAAACATCAGTGTAGGGTATACCGGGCAAACGTATACCGGGCAGTGGCACTTAACCTTAAAAAAACATCAGTGTAGGGTTAAAATATGGAATAAATGTAATTATATCCACGAATAAATTCATATCAAATCGAATGTAATAAATATTTCGGACATTCACCAAAGCATATTGTCGACATACACCAGTGAGGGTCCGAATGTACAAGAATGTAATGAAATATTCTTGTTTCACCGACGTATTTGGTGTTTGTCGACATTCACCGGTGAAAGTCAACAACAACGGTCTTTTGCCGTGACAACTATACAACAACGAATTATCCCAAACTTGTAGTTTTATCATAGTTTTTATTCTTTTTTTCCCGTAAGAGTAGATGTGCTTCTAATAGTTTCAATAGGAAACCTTTACTTGATGCTACATTTAGAATTAGTCTAGAAATAAGTCATCGTAAGAAATTGTTCATATAACCAATGTTATTTCCAAAAAAATATGTTTCCCTATTTACAGATTTTTATTGTTAGAAAAACTAAACTAAGCAAAAAAAAATAATAAAATTTTTTCACGTTTCATTCTCATATACACATCAATATTTTAACTCAAATAAAATGAAGGCAAGTCATTAATCAATCATTACTCAATCTACTTCAGTTTGAACAAATAGTCAAAATTTGTCAATACCAGCGGTTTTCCGCACTCCCTCATGAGCAACAAGAAACAAATGAAAAAAAAAGAAAAAAAGAAAAAAAACAACAACTAACAGACATCATTCACAAATTGACACGAAACAATGATGTATGACCAAGTGAAGAAAAGGAAAAAAAATAAATAAATAAAAAAGTAACATTAACCGAGGAGGAAAGAAGTCTTAGATGAAGAAATAAAAGAACAAATCTTGGAGGTGCAATTCCCTTTGCAGTTACTCCTCATCCTCTGGGGTGTGTTAGCGCCGTCTATCGTGAGTTCGATTAACAAGACTAAATGTTTGTCTTTCTCAATTTGTGAGTGATATATACAATCGACTGTGAATCGCAATTCTTCATCGTTGTTAAATAATTAAAATCGCGCTCGATTTTCAGTTGCGATGAAGGATAGTTTAGGTGTACTAAAATGTACAGCTCATTCAAAATAAATAAATGCGTAAATAAACTAGAATTCTCATTATAAAAAGATGATAAACGAGTAAATTGATTTAGGTTTTAAGATATTCTTCACTTTGTTAATATGATATTTTATATGAGAATGAATCTACATTTTCTGAAATAATGAATTGTGAATAATCTGAATCGGTATACTTCGGTATAATTTTTTTTATTTGCTTTCATGTCTATCCTGTGAGTGTGGGGGCGGGGGGGGGGCTTCCTTCCAATTAATAGTTTAACCACTTCCAAACTAACAGCACTACACATCTCATCGGAAGCTATGCCTGATGACAACAGTTGTTTCAATTGCTTCTAGGTGGAATTTACCTTCCCTCGAAATTTTGAACAGCTTTCGACTATCTACTATGCTTATAATAATGCTTTTTTTTTCAATTAGCGACCGTTTTACTATTATGAATTGGTAAATTTTACTTTATAATTTTATAACCGTTGTAGAACAGCCAACCCAATTTCGGGTTTACAACTACTAAGGTTTAACTCCATAGCCTTGTAATTTTGAACCCAATCCCGAAGACAGGG